TACGCCCCTTTCAAAGGGATATTGGGGTCAGGATCCATCTAATGGCATGTATGTACATTCATTGTGGGGAAACTAGCCTATTCAAAAAATATAATATTTTCCTTCAAAATCCTGAACCACCCCGGCCCTTACCATTTCAGCCTGAAATTGGTGTTTATTCAAATTATCACAATATTTGCCCCTACGCCCCTTTCAAAGGGATATGGGGGTCAGGATCCATTAAATGGCATGTATGGACATTCATTGTGGGGAAACTAGCCTATTCAAAAAATATAATATTTTCCTCCAAAATGCTGAACCACCCCGGCCCTTACCATTTCTGCCAGAAATTGGTGTTTATTCAAATTATCACAATATTTGCCCCTACGCCCCTTTCAAAGGGATATGGGGGTCAGGATCCATCTAATGGCATGTATGTACATTCATTGTGGGGAAACTAGCCTATTCAAAAAATATAATATTTTCCTTCAAAATCCTGAACCACCCTGGCCCTTACAATTTCGGCCCGAAAAATGTGATAATTCAAATTTTTACAATATTTGCCCCTACGCCCCTTTCAAAGGGATATTGGGGTCAGGATCCATCTAATGGCATGTATGTACATTCATTGTGGGGAAACTAGCCTATTCAAAAAATATAATATTTCCCTCCAAAATGCTGAACCACCCCGGCCCTTACCATTTCGGCCAGAAATTGGTGTTTATTCAAATTATCACAATATTTGCCCCTACGCCCCTTTCAAAGGGATATGGGGGTCAGGATCCATCTAATGGCATGTATGTACATTCATTGTGGGGAAACTAGCCTATTCAAAAAATATAATATTTTCCTTCAAAATCCTGAACCACCCCGGCCCTTACCATTTTAGCCTGAAATTGGTGTTTATTCAAATTATCACAATATTTGCCCCTACGCCCCTTTCAAAGGGATATGGGGGTCAGGATCCATCTAATGGCATGTATGTACATTCATTGTGGGGAAACTAGCCTATTCAAAAAATATAATATTTTCCTCCAAAATGCTGAACCACCCCGGCCCTTACCATTTCAGCCTGAAATTGGTGTTTATTCAAATTATCACAATATTTGCCCCTACGCCCCTTTCAAAGGGATATGGGGGTCAGGATCCATCTAATGGCATGTATGTACATTCATTGTGGGGAAACTAGCCTATTCAAAAAATATAATATTTTCCTCCAAAATGCTGAACCACCCCGGCCCTTACCATTTCAGCCTGAAATTGGTGTTTATTCAAATTATCACAATATTTGCCCCTACGCCCCTTTCAAAGGGATATGGGGGTCAGGATCCATCTAATGGCATGTATGTACATTCATTGTGGGAAAACTAGCCTAATCAAAAAATATAATATTTTCCTCCAAAATGCTGAACCACCCCGGCCCTTACCATTTCTGCCAGAAATTGGTGTTTATTCAAATTATCACAATATTTGCCCCTACGCCCCTTTCAAAGGGATATTGGGGTCAGGATCCATCTAATGGCATGTATGTACATTCATTGTGGGGAAACTAGCCTATTCAAAAAATATAATATTTTCCTTCAAAATCCTGAACCACCCTGACCCTTACAATTTCGGCCCGAAAAATGTGATAATTCAAATTTTTACAATATTTGCCCCTACGCCCCTTTCAAAGGGATATGGGGGTCAGGATCCATTTAATGGCATGTATGTACATTCATTGTGGGGAAACTAGCCTATTCAAAAAATATAATATTTTCCTCCAAAATGCTGAACCACCCCGGCCCTTACCATTTCGGCCAGAAATTGGTGTTTATTCAAATTATCACAATATTTGCCCCTACGCCCCTTTCAAAGGGATATGGGAGTCAGGATCCATCTAATGGCATGTATGTACATTCATTGTGGGGAAACTAGCCTATTCAAAAAATATAATATTTTCCTCCAAAATGCTGAACCACCCCGGACCTTACCATTTCAGCCTGAAATTGGTGTTTATTCAAATTATCACAATATTTGCCCCTACGCCCCTTTCAAAGGGATATTGGGGTCAGGATCCATCTAATGGCATGTATGTTCATTCATTGTGGGGAAACTAGCCTATTAAAAAAATATAATATTTTCCTTCAAAATGCTGAACCACCCCGGCCCTTACCATTTCAGCCTGAAATTGGTGTTTATTCAAATTATCACAATATTTGCCCCTACGCCCCTTTCAAAGGGATATGGGGGTCAGGATCCGTCTAATGGCATGTATGTACATTCATTGTGGGGAAACTAGCCTAATCAAAAAATATAATTTTTTCCTCCAAAATGCTTTACCACCCCGGCCCTTACAATTTCGGACCGAAAGTTGTGATAATACAAATTTTTACAATATTTGCCCCTACGCCCCTTTCAAAGGGATATGGGGGTCAGAATCCATTTAATGGCATGTATGGACATTCATTGTGGGGAAACTAACCTATTAAAAAAATATAATATTTTCCTCCAAAATGCTGAACCACCCCGGCCCTTACCATTTCGGCCAGAAATTGGTGTTTATTCAAATTATCACAATATTTGCCCCTACGCCCCTTTCAAAGGGATATGGGGGTCAGGATCCATCTAATGGCACGTATGTACATTCATTGTGGGGAAACTAGCCTATTCAAAAAATATAATATTTTCCTTCAAAATCCTGAACCACCCCGGCCCTTACCATTTTAGCCTGAAATTGGTGTTTATTCAAATTATCACAATATTTGCCCCTACGCCCCTTTCAAAGGGATATGGGGGTCAGGATCCATCTAATGGCATGTACATGTATGTACATTCATTGTGGGGAAACTAGCCTATTCAAAAAATATAATATTTTCCTCCAAAATGCTGAACCACCCCGGCCCTTACCATTTCAGCCTGAAATTGGTGTTTATTCAAATTATCACAATATTTGCCCCTACGCCCCTTTCAAAGGGATATGGGGGTCAGGATCCATCTAATGGCATGTATGTACATTCATTGTGGGGAAACTAGCCTATTCAAAAAATATAATATTTTCCTCCAAAATGCTGAACCACCCCGGCCCTTACCATTTCAGCCTGAAATTGGTGTTTATTCAAATTATCACAATATTTGCCCCTACGCCCCTTTCAAAGGGATATGGGGGTCAGGATCCGTCTAATGGCATGTATGTACATTCATTGTGGGAAAACTAGCCTAATCAAAAAATATAATTTTTTCCTCCAAAATGCTTTACCACCCCGGCCCTTACAATTTCGGCCCGAAAGTTGTGATAATACAGATTTTTACAATATTTGCCCCTACGCCCCTTTCAAAGGGATATGGGGGTCAGGATCCATCTAATGGCATGTATGGACATTCATTGTGGGGAAACTAACCTATTAAAAAATTAAACAAGTTTGGAGTTTAAATCTCCAGTGGTTCTTGAGATACATGTAATGTGATAACAATCTCAATGTATGGAATTTCATAAGTTGACCTCTGTGACCCTTGACCTTTGACCTACGTGCTCCAAAATCTAATCAGATTGTCTTCCTATGGTGATACACACTATCATTAAGTTTGAAGTTTAAATCTCCAGTGGTTCTTGAGATATTATGATTTGGTGATACATACTATCATTAAGTTTGAAGTGAAAATTCTCCAGTGGTTCTTGAGATATCTCGATAACGATCTCAATGTATGGAATTTCATAAGTTGACCTCTGTAACCCTTGACCTTTGACCTACATGCTCCAAAATCTAATCAGATTGTCTTCCTTTGGTGATACACACTATCATTAAGTTTGAAGTTTAAATCTCCAGTGGTTCTTGAGATATTATGATAACAATCTCAATGTATGGAATTTCATAAGTTGACCTCTGTGACCCTTGACCTTTGACCTACGTGCTCCAAAATCTAATAAGATCGTCTTCCTATGGTGATACATACTATCCTTAAGTTTGAAGTTTTTACATCTCCAGTGGTTCTTGAGATATCATGATAACAATCTCAACGTATGGAATTTCATAAGTTGACCTCTATGACCCTTGACCTTTGACCTACGTGCTCCAAAATGTAATCAGATTGTTTTCCTATAGTGATACACAATATCACTAAGTTTGAAGTTTAAATCTCCTGTGGTTCTTGAGATATCATGATAACAATCTCAATGTATGGAATTTCATAAGTTGACCTCTGTGACCCTTGACCTTTGACATACCCAAAATCTAATCAGATCGTCTTCCTATGGTGATACATACTATCCTTAAGTTTGAAGTTTAAATCTCAAATGGTTCTTGAGATATCGCGCTAACAAACTCAATACAAGGAATTTCATAAGTTGACCTCTGTGACCTGTGACCTTTGACCTACGTACTCCAAAATCTAATCAGATCGTCTTCCTATGGTGATAAATACTATTCCCGAGTCTTAAGTTTAAATCTTAAATGGTTCTTGAGATATTGTGATAACGGTCAAACGGGACGGACGTACGGACGGACGTACGGACGGACGGACGGACAACCCGAAAACATGATGCCTCCGGCACCACCTTCGGTGGCGGAGGCATAAAAAAGTAAATAACATCTACAGTACACATGCATTTTACTTAAAGACCATCAATACTACTGGGCCAGAAGGGATTAGACCACACAGCGAGGTCACTGACAGGTGGCTATCTCATTAACTCAGCTCTCAACTAACATAAGAAAAAGAGGATCATGGGGGACAAACAGGCACCGATTGTGGAAATTTTCTATATAGAGGGAGCAAGTACATGTAGCTACAAGTAGGACAGTGAGGCTTTAAGAACGATAAGACTACATGTATGTGCATGCATATCTTTAATACAACTTTAACATACAGACTTGTTCTTTTTTTGGTTCATCTCCTAATTTCGTGGGTTTGAATTCTTCATAAAAAGATTTCCCACTGATTTCATGAACTGGGCCTGTTGCATAAAATTTACCATTAAAGGTCACTTTGCCATCAATGGCAATTACCATGGTAACATGGCTCAACAGCCAATCACAATCAAGATTACCATGGTACTTACCATTGATGGCAAAGTTACCATCAATGGTAAGTTTTGTGCAACAGGGCCCATGTGTATTTATAATCTATATGAGGCCCGCTTTGCATCACAAAACCAGTAATGAATTAATATAAGGATGCATTATAACTATATCTGTAATACGACAAGTGTCTTTGAGACTGACCTTCTGGTAGTCCTCATCGAAAGAGAGAACAGAGAGGGCCTTGCCCAGGGTGCCGGATACACCTCCAAATGCATCTGCTACTCCACCTGAAAGAGAG